GACAACCTTCCACTTTGCAAACAAAAGGACCTGCCAGAAACTTGAGAAAGTCTAGAATATAAATTGTGGGCCTCAAAAAACTCAAAGCTCAAAAAATAATCGTTTCCTATTTTCTTTTTGTTTCCTTTATTTTTCTATTTCCTTTTTCCTTTTTTTTTTCATCGCTTCCTTTTTTTTTTGTCTTCCTTTCTTTCTCTTTGGGGCTTTCGAAACAAGCGTAGGTGCAGATAGGATTGGATGCAGCAGCGGGTTCAACTTCAATTGTAGAATGCATGTGTGACTTTAGATCAAGATGGTGAAGTGGTTCAAATTGATTTCAGTCAGATTGGTTTATGCAGCAATGATTTCAGGCAAGGTGTTCCCTTCGATGCAGCAGTAAAAGCAGCAGATCGACAACTGGGTTCCCTTCGATGCAGCAGTAAAAACAGTGGATCGACAACTGGGTTGGTGTCGGTATTGCAGCAGTGGTGATTCGATGTCAGTTCATGAGCTATAGGGCACGCAAGCTTCAATCTGGGCATGATGCAGCAGTGGTCGTGATAGATACAGGATCGGCGTGGTGGACTCGGGTCAGCAACGACGGCGTCGTTCGCTGGTTGGACAGTGCAGCACAACTCGTGCACGGTTTCTTGTTTTTTCCTTTTCCTTAACCTAGGCTCTGATACCAAGTATAGAATGCTTTGAATAATATTTTATTCTTCTCAATGAGAGGTATTTATACAAGGTGTACAACCCTAATGTAATAGGAAGAAAACTAATTACACGAGATTACAGGAGATTACACAGAATTGATATCAATTAGGAATCCTACCTAAAATACAAAGTCAACAGGACCGACATATTACATGGGTGATCATGCTTGGTATTCTCGCGATGGATGATCACTGCATGCACCATTAGATTATGCATATGGTTCTGCTTGGTATATCCACGATTGGGAGGGCCATACGCATTCTAGGAGTGATCATGCTTGGTATATCCGTAATAGGTGATCACGACCTACACCATTAGATTGTGCATATGGTTTTTCTTGGAATATCCGCAATGAGGGACTGTACGTATTCTAGGAGTAATCATGCTTGGTATATCCGTAATGGGTGATCATTACCTATAGCTATAAAAACGATCATACTTGGTATATTCGCGATGAGGGACCTTATGGATTTTAAGGGTGATCATGCTTGGTATATCTGTAATGGGTGATCACTGCCTACATCATTAGACTAGGCTTATGGTTATGCTTGGCAATCCACGATGGCAACAACTTTCTAGTTGGATTTCGTTTAGTTGGTTTAGAACTCCATTTCATATTTGTTTCCACTGAGTTAGTTTCAATCCGAGATTCTTGTGCATAGAAGTTACTCCGTTTATGATTGTGGTTGTAATGTAAGGTTACAATGTTGGATGTTTGGATTTCAATAGTGAAATACGGTAAACCTTACGGTGGTTGGCTCCATTAATCCTAGTGAAGTGATATTTGATCTTAATGGAATGGATCAATTATTTTCTTGTGATTATTGACTTGTCGTTGGAAGTTAGTGTGATGTACGTGATGGATGAAATGAAATTCTTGGTTATGATATATGGTTTCACTAAGTAGTCTAGAATCTAGTGAATTATGCTCTGTGAGTTCTATGGAGTGATTCTAGAGCTTTACGTTATTTTCTTGCTAAGAGATGTCATGAGAAATGTTGGGCTTAATAATAATGAACTATGAATAGCTTGATCTCGTTTTAAGTAGGGCTGGAAAAAAATACCGAAATTCCCAAACCATACCGAAACCAAACTGAAAAAATACCGAACCAAAAATCCCGAAAATTTTAGTACCGAAACCAAACTGATCCCGAATTGTTCAATATGGGATTCGGTCTCACACTTTGAAATTTTCGGTATTCCCGAACCGAACTGTAATATCTATACATATATACATACATAGATACATACATACATACATGTGTATATGTGTGTGTGTCAGTGTTGGAATGTGTAATGTTTTATTATTATATTATTAAAATAACTAAAGTGTGGTGTGGTGATGCTGATAAAAGTTGCATCAAGCACATGGGAATGGGATGGGTTGCGTGCTTGCTTTCTAAAGACAGACCCTGTCTCTCCTCCCCCTTATTTTCTGTCTCAATGTCATCAGTCATCTCTCTCTCGTATTATCTCAATCTCTCTAGACTACAACCCATAAATCTCTCTCTTTCTCTCTCTACAACCCAGAAACCACCTAACCCTTCTTTCCACCCAATCCAAAACCTTCGCTTCTCATCCCTACTCACTCTCTCTCATTTCATTTCGCCTTTCATCTGCCTTCACTCAGTCTCAGGCTCTCTTTTTCTTGGATTCGAAGCTTAGCAGCCACCCACCATCTAACAATCTGACTCTGATGAACTATCTCCACTCCAGCCACCACCACACCTCAGGGCTTCATCCCCACCTCCAGTTCTCTTCAGTGATTCACTGTGTGTGTGGGATTTCGAATTAAGGTTAGGGTTTCGAATTGGGGCTTAGGGTTTTGAATTGGGGGCTCAGGTCAGGAGGATGACACAGGTCTCTCTCTTCACTCTGTTTTTCTCTCAACCATAAATCTTTCACTAATTCACTGTCACTATGTCTCTGATTTCAATTTGGATTTTTAATGCAGGTTTGGATGATTTCAATTTTAATCTAGATGATTTGGATTATGATGATGTTCGGTTTTGGGAAATTCTGAAATATCGAAAATATTTCAGGAATTCCAAAATTTGAGAATCCCGAAATTTCGGTTCGGGATCGGTCATGAGATTTTCATCCCGAAAATTTTCGGTTTGAGATTTGATATGCCATTTTTGGTTTGGTATGGGATACCGAACCAGCCCTAGTTTTAAGGTACGTTGGCAGTCTAACACAGAGGTTAGATGCAGCCATGATACAAAAGAAAGCCACTGCACCGTTTGACTTTTGATTTGTATTTTGGTCATGTCTTGGAGATGAGACATGATAGATGGTTAGGTATGTGGTGACGTTACGTATCGATCTTGGACGCATATCAGGATTAGGGCGTGACAATTTGATTAAGAATCAAGATTGGATTCGGTAAAGTCCTAAAGTGAATGGAATTATTAAGGATTAGAATGAACAATGATAAGATTCGTAATATTTCAAGAATCATTCTTCACAGCTGATCAAGATCTAGAATGAATAAAACATGAAAGAAGGCTAGATTTATAGTCCTAAGTCTAGTAGAAGTGGTCGGGCTTTACTTAGAGATCATGATGGTTTGGTGCTGAGGAATACAACCCATATAGGACTCTACTTCGACATGGGATAATCAGCATGAAATCACTCCTTTATTTAGAAGAGGTTTTGCAACATTTGAGGGACCTTCAATACAACACACAAATTTGCCTTGCGCAATTTCTCATTCTACGTGAAACCCTATCATCTTTGAGAAAAATATTGATATTCCTAACTTTGTCAAGCACACCTTTTAGTTTGTATCAAGGGCTCTGTGGTTGACAACTTGTGACATTTTACAGTTTGTAGAAACAACACTCCAGCTTATAAAAACAACACTAATCCAAGTTTGGTTTACAATCTATCCAAGTCTCTCTTGGCAGGGAATCTTTGAGTCCTTGTTAGAAGAGGTCATCTCATTAGCTTCTCGGTAAGTGAGGTGTTACCAGGTTAGATCATTTGGCACATTGAAGGTCGAACCCATTTATGATTGGATATTCACAAGTGCATTTCAGAGTTTGGCACTTTGACGACTAACCACTTTTAAGGTCAAGACACCTATCTCCTTTGAGTATATGTGTCCATAGTCTGATACTGATTCAACGCACTTGTATTTTTACAAATATAATTGGAGTAGCCAAGCCCTGTGTAGATGATTCTTGAACTTCGTAGTGACTAGCAGCCATGTCTTTCAGGTTCTAAACCCAAAGGTTGAGACGAGTTCCTTCCTTGGTTACGATCGATTGGATAAGAAGTCAGCAGCACGTTCGACACCACCACCACCACATTCATTTACTCATTGACCGAGCTCGGTCGACGAGTTGGCACGCACTGCATGCAACTGAATGATGTAATTAGTTCATTAGCTATTCGGCCTGTGTGCCATGTAGGCTTGATAGTTTTTAGGGTTAACAATATGTTCTAAATAATAATTTTTTTTTTTTTTTTTTTTCAAAATCTTAGTTTTTATCCCCACTCACTTAGTTTTCCTATGTATTCGAGGTCGGTCGCACCGCGTCGAGGATTGTCCGTCATTGTTTTCTCAAGTTTGTGTCCGAGTATACATCCATGTATTTGTATTTCTCGTTAACCTGTATGTCGTAAGCCTTAGTAAGCTTTGGTATAATTTTTGGGTAGTTTCCTTATGACTAGTGTTGTTGATAGGGTCGGCGATCCTAGATTGTGTAGTGTGTATTTGAACGAATGGTGGATTGAGAATTGATTGAGCACGATTTGTAGCGTGTTCAACGGGTTAATGGGTGGGCCAAACATCGGATGGGTGTCGAATTCCTCTAGATTTTCCTCGGTTCTTGGGGCAACCTGCGGCAACTCTTGACAATTTAAGAAAATTTGCCACCTAGCTTCTCCAAGTGGTGGAGCGCGTCGATTTCATTCATAATTTTATTCATTTGTGTGATTTTTCTCTACAACAGTTTGTCCTATATATTATGTCCACTGAAAGATAAAGCTCCCGATACTCAGACTCTTTACACCGGTTTCAAAACTGTTGTCTGGTAAGGTTAGAAAAGACGGTATAATATTGGGACGACAACTATTGTTAGAAGTTGTGGTGCGGTTGCTTTTGGAATGCGAAAATCCTCGTTTCCTACATGTAGAAGTGACAGAAACACCATTTTTTATGAGATAACGGTTTTAACTAAAATTGTCGTTAATTTGAGACTTATTCAGACGAGACGACAATGTTTTGCAGTCGTCTCATCTGCTTCAAGAAACGATGCCCACTTAAACAACGATTTTTTTTAGCAAACATGAGACTTTGATATAATTACTTAACGCTATTGACGATCTTCATCACAATCGATAAGGTAGGAAATGATACAAGGATATGCACTTCACACATGCGTAAGGGTACATTGGTTATTACAATTCTTCAAGTTATCATTAGACCATAACATGCTTTCGGAGGCCAGGTATGTGAGTATTCATAATATAGTCTTCCCAATCAATGCATTTCGGATCAAAGTTAAATTCCTTTGCGTCTATGTAACACTCACTTGTCAACTTTTGCAGCTCCTTTGAGTTACTGTCATCAAATCTGCAATTAAAACATGTTTATTATTGTCCATTCCCTTGAATAATGAAAAATGATAAAACTTGTAATTACAAAAGTATAACATACGTACATGCCCTTGAATAACATGTAGGGTTTGTATAGCTCTACTAAGCGCATCACCAATGTGAGTTTCCGACTATAGTTAACATATATGTCCTCGAAATATTGGCCTGAAGCTTTATTTACGAACTTTAATCCCTTCAAAAAATGCAAATAAGAACATATGAAAGGAAATTAATGAACTGAGAAAGACTAACATGTGTGATATCAATAACATAAAAAAAAAAAAAACGATTATTAAGCAGACATTAATTAATTCAATCTCAATGATCACACAATCCATGAAATGGAAAAGATTATACGGTATGCCCAGAATACAAGATGATACACACTAAGTGGTATAATATAAGTGAAATATAGTGTTGAAATGTTTCACTTGTACATTTTACACGCCTTTGATATTATAACATATGGTGTATCACTTTATATTCTAAGTTCACTAAAAAATCTCTCCGATGACCCACATTCGCAATCCCTATTAATTGTGGATTTTTATATTCTATTATATAGCATTACCGTCAAGAAAATAGATAGAACAAACCTGCAAAGGTATCCTGAAGCAAATTTGCATGTACATTCGGAAAGAAGACATAGTCCTAAACATTGTACAATTGCCAACTTTAGTAGCGTTTCCATCCTTGTTAACCCACGGATTTTTGGTGAAGTGTCGGTACACAAAATTGTGAATATCACAAAATTGTATAGGCTTTCTAAATGAGGATCCCACATGGTAAATGACAATAGAAGGTTGATTTGCATTCACAACCATAGCAGAAATAATTGAGTTTACCACCATGTCAACAGGAATCTGCCCAATTTACAAAATTAACCACTCGTTAGTTACATATTATTATTATTATTTTTAAACCATCGCTTTAAAATAATTAAATAATTTAACAAAAAAAAAAAAATCATAGAAGAGAAACACAGACGAGAATGAAGTCTAATTTCCATAAACTTATCCTTTCTATATATGTATGCACATGCATGTACATGATATATATATATATATATATATATATTATGTAAATAGTGTTTGAAGGCATCAACATATTCATTGACTTTGAACTCACCATATCAAAAACTGACATAGGATCAGCAAGGAGGCATGTCAGTTTTCCTTTGCAATAACCAGCAATAACGCTATCAATGGTTCTGTAATATGAACAAATATATGATTTTAGTTTTGTGGGATCACCATACACTCTAATTTTCATTCATCTTTTAAAGGCCATCGATATCGACACTTGTAACTTCCAATTATTGAGTAACAAAGATATTTTTACAACTTAGAATTTTAAGGTGCATGATGCAAAATAATTACCTGAAACCTTGAATCCAACCTGGAAATGGCTCCTTATAAGTACTAGTAACCACAGTTGGACGGATGATGACTAGAGGTAGATTACCTTTTGAGTTCTCAAGAAATATTTCTCCCATTGCCTTTGTAAATACATAGGTGTTTGGCCATCCATAAAGTTTAGCCCTGATAATTATTAATTATATTAAAGAAAAGCAAAAGATAAATAGCATAAGTCCATATATAACACTCAGGAATGGCACAATCTACGTGGAATTGTTAAGAATTTCAAACTTCTACCACCACTAGGTAGCATTTCTTTTACTTTTGATTTCATCAAAATATGGGAAAAAAAAAAAGCCAAAGTATAAAATTTGTAAGTGTGTTAATAAAGGCACAATTAGATATTGATGCTTTAAAACCTTTCAATGCCAAAATTCTTCATGGTGCTTCTGATATTTTCTTCTGAAGCACCTTCTGCCTTTAGTTCATTCAATTTCTCCTCTACAACCTTCTTTTCCTGTACTTGGAAATTAAATTTGGTGGTACCTTTAACTTTCTCATCCATAAATGAAGATGAGTCCTCTGGTATGAGTCCTTCCCTTTCACCACACACGTAAGCTAGAAAGAAAAAAAAAGGAGTTCTTGATCACCATCAGTTGAGAAAAATCTATCCAAGGGCACAAAGGCCAAAAGAAAAAGGTTTCCTTACCCATATATATTTATATTCAATTAAACAAAAGATGATATATCAGAAATACGATAATTGAAGATGAATTAAACAAGAAAGGGAGAGGATAAGTACAGTACGTGAAAAACAAAAAATAACAGAAAACCGAAAGGCCATACTAAATGATCGAAAACTGACCAGTTGATATGTGGAGAAGCATCTCTAGTTTTAAACATTTCTTTGCAAAGCTCAACAAATGAAGAACTCCAAATGTATTCACGTCTAGCGCAATATCATATCTGCAAACGATATATGTATACAGGTAAAAGGTATAGGTGTACTCGTACATGATTTATTTATCACTTTTATCAGATGATTGTATATACTACATAGTGTCTATGTTGTACTTTATTCACTTTAATCAATAATGTAGTTTGTGGTTGAATTTTATGTGTGTATAGATTGGGGAGGGTGGAAATCAACACATGACCTCGATTGCAGGGTGAAAGCTCATACCTTTCATCAAAATTTGTTGTCGCTGCAGAGTTAAGTATGATTTGTACTCCATTGAACATTTCTTCCCTCAATTTGATGTCTTTCACCCCCAGGTTTTCAAAAGTTACATCTCCTGGGACAGCCACAACTTTTTTTGATATAAAGTTATCAAAATCTGCACCTAAATGCATGAGAACAAGCCAATTAAGTCGCATAAAAATGCTCCTATCAATAAGCTTATGTGGATAACGAATTACTAGACCTAACCCAAAAATGAAAACAAAATTGGACTATAACTAATAATGGCTCATAAAATTGGACTCATATTAAGTTTACTAATACCACATTGGTGAGACCCTAAGCAAGGCCACATTGGTTACCATGTTGGTGAAATCCTAAGGATCTCAAACCCTCGGAGAACTTAGGAGAGCTAACTACACCCATAAATAATTAAAATATGTTAATTCATATAAACTTAATTGTTTTTTGTGGTTCTAGGTATACCATCCTTGAATTAGAGCCACACGTAGAGTGCTGTTGTTATGAAATGACTACTCTCTTCATGCATCGACATAAGGGTTTTGTGCTACGTACGTCCAGTATTATATACATGTAATGTTGTTTTTAATTAGTTGACTAGTATTGCTGTATCATGTATGTGTGTGTGTGTATATATATATGTAGTTCTTTTCCTACAGGATAATACTCTTGACTCGATAGGTCGGCTTTGAGTTGGTTTGATTTTTATTTTTATTATTATCATTACTATTTCAGGTTGTGCGTTAGTTCAGCTGCATATTAGAAGGAGAAGACTGGAATGAGTTCTTGGAGCGTTATAGACGCGATCAAATACAAAGTCTTTGCCATATCAATTGGGCATGCATATTGCGTTATTCGTTTTGAAGAGAAGCGAAAGCGATAATTCATTGATACGAAATAATACGATTACACGATTACAAGGGTGTCAACTAAGTACATATTTTTAGTGACCAAATTCGTAATTTGAATAAATAAAAATCTGCCAATTACATCCTTAATATTAGATTCACAGCTACTATATTCATTTTTCCGTCAATTTAAGTCACTTTACTTGCATGCAATACAATTGGAGGGTAGATTAGTAATTTCCCATAAAGAAATAGTGTATGAAGTTAACTTTGGAGGGTAAATTAGATTTTAGATTCGCAACCTATATGAAATATTAAGGGAAGGCAAGAAAATGACAAAATTAGACCCTAAAGTGTGTCAAATGACTAAGTTGATGAAAAATTGGATAAAATAGCTTTAAATGTAATGGTAGGGATGAAATTAGCAATTTTTAATGAATTTAGGGACTTATTTTACTGAAAAAATAATTCAGGGACCTAATTTTTACTGAGATGATATTTCAGGGACTAAATTAGCACTTCAGCCAGAAAAATTAGACCAAGTATAGCAATATAATTAAAAAACTAAAGGTTTTTTTGCATTACTAGCATGGAAAATTTATCAAACACGAGTGATGGGGATTTAAAATTTCCATGAAAAATAGGAATGATTATATCATAAGAACATAACTTGTTTACGAGCTTTAATAAAAAAGAAGATTTGAATAAAAATTTAAGGTCATGACTCAAAACTATTACCATGAGATTTTCTTTTAATATAAGGATGAATGAATTTTACAAAGGTAACTAGTGGATTGTTGTTATATATTTAACATGTGTTTTATATGTTTGAATATCCATTCAAGTTTCGTTAAGCAGGACTTAATTTATAGCAATAACAGATTTGTATTATCTCATTTTATTGACATTAACATTAAGTTGTGAATTAGTGAAATTAACTATTAAGTCTATATCTTGAAAATTGGTATGGCCACAAGAATTTTATTACAGGTTTATGAAATTAAGGTCAAGCATTTGTAGCCTAGTCTTAGCAGGTGGTGCTTGATGCGATGAAAGTTAAGCATTCAAATTAAACCCTCTTGTTGTCAAATTGTAGTATAAATGCAAGTAGGGATCGTTCTAAACCGGGGATTAGGAAGGCTTGCTAAAACCTCTAAACTAACTCAAAGACATAAAAACAAAGTTAAAAACGTTTGAATAGACTCAAATGACTCAAAACAGATTCTAAAGACGCAAAACAGCTTAAAAAACACTCAAAATTGCCTAAAAACACTTACTAGGCAGATTTGACTCTAACACAACTTTGGACGAAATTTGGGTTTTGACTTGAATCAAAACACTTAAAAACACTAACGAAATATAAATTTAACACTTTGAAACAACAAAGTAAAAGGGGGATTTGGTTTTGACAAATTCGAAACGAACAAACAACTTATAAAATTAAACAGATTGTAAAGCGAATTTAAGAAATGAGATGATGAATGGATTAGTTAGAGGTCCGTTCTTCGCACATGATACAATTGTAGATGAATCGATTTCCAATTGCTTTTCAATAAACTATGATGCTCAACACCCCAGATTAACCGTGATGCACAAATTAACCCTCAAATTTTCCTTTACTCATTGAATTGGATGAATGCATGCGACAACCCAAATCATTCTCTAAAAGTCCCCTATATGAATGCATAATAGATATACAATCAGAGATCATTACGTTCAATGAAAATCATAAGTGTTGACGAGGCAATTATAACTATGAATGCATGATACAATTGCCAATAATTCAATTAACGCGATTGTGATAAACAACCTTCACTACTCATGAATATAAACTTGTAACGATTAGGTGAAACTCATTTATATTCTAGCATCTAATTCATGCATGAAAACTAAGTATGCATCCTTAATAAACATACAAGAATCCGTTATGAATAAAATAGATAATTGAATTGCAATCACAACTTATCAAATCACAATTGGAAGAAATCAATTCAAATCTTAAGCATGTTCATGGTTTCAAACTTCCCCCTAACTAAATAGGGGTTTAGCCACTAATAATTGCAACAAAATTAGAAAATAACAAAGTAGACATTGAAAGCAAGAACGAAGTACACTTAAAACGCTCCAAAGTTCTAAGCTTGAAACGCCAAGGACCTTTGTTTTCACCACCTTGTTGTAGCACAAGTGTCTAGGATGTGTATGGATATATGGATGGAATGGATTTGCACGGCTACGAGATGAAAGTGTATGGATTGGTGAGATGTAGTATGGCTAGATGAATGGATGGAGGTCATGCCAAGGAAATTGTGTTTGTGAAAGAAGTTGTGAGATGTGAAATGTAGTGTCTTTGGACGATGGCCCCCAAATTATGGTGAATGGTGGATGTATTTATAGGCTAGGGAGAGGAGTGTATGGAGTTGTAATGAGTGGATGTAATGGGTGTAGTGGGTGGATGTTTGGTAATAAGTGGATGCAATGGGTGTAGTGGGTTGTGGTAATGAGTGGATGTAATTGATGTAGTGGGTGAGTGTTTGGTAATGAGTGGATGTAATGGGTGTAGTGGGTTGTGGTAATGAGTGGATGTAATGGGTGTAGTGGGTGAGTGTTGTGGTAATGAGTGGATGTAATGGGTGTAGTGGATGAATGTTTGGTAATGAGTAGTGTTTGGTAATGAGTGGATGTAATGGGTGTAGTGGGTGGGTGTTTGGTAATGAGTGGATGTAGTGGTAGGTGAATGGATGTGTTGGGTGAAATGAGTATGCTAAAATGGTTATTTATAGGGAGAGGATGATGCACAAACTTCAAATTTCGTCCATTCCTTTTGCTCCAAGCATATGCCATCCATTCCATGCCCAAAAATGCTCCAAAATGCTCCAAAATTCACTTCTTTACCACATTAACCCTTTGGACCTACAAACACACGAAAATAGCTTAAAATATTAAAATAACTACGAACTAACAACATAAATGCCAAGAAACAAGCTAACTAAGTCGTATAAATATGCTCCTATCAAATTCCCCCACACTTAGCTTTTGCTGGTCCTCGAGCAAAACAAAACACAACCTAGACCTTCCAACAATTGCCTCAGGGATTTTTAATGAAACATGACATGTTAAAAATCATCATTCCCACAGATTTTGGTCATCCTTACACTTGAGCACATACTTATAGTCACCACTTACTAGTTCACAATTAACCAATTAAAACGATGTTTTGAATGTAGTAACATGCCTTAGAGAATTTACTCAATTCCTTACAAGATACTCTCTATTTTCACACACATTTTTTTACTACACACCCTACACTAGTTATATGTGAGAAGATTGATGTAAACATGAAAACGAACACTCACATATATGTATAACAAAGAGGGCAATTTTCTGGAGTTATTCAGCATGTTTAGATATGATCTCATGAATGGAATGCTACTACTTAGATGCAAGAACCAGTGACACCATATGCTCAAACCAATTCCAAACTCCACATATTGAAACGCATAACACTCAAGATAAAGTTAAGGGTTGTAACGGGGTTTAAGGGTAATGGCTAACAAATAAAGGATAAGGATAACAAACGTTTTGAAAGCAATAGCAAGCAAATAAATGAAATAGACACTTGGAATTCACTTAATAATACAGAAATTAACTTTTAAACACAAAGGGAAGATTCAAGCAACACTTAGGGCCGAATTCAATGTTTTGGACCATTTCTTCAACAATCAACATTTTAGAGCTCTTTTTTCACATATTTTTCAACTCTTTTTCACTCTTTTCACAACTTTTATTTTTTTCATTCTATTTTCCACGAATGTTTCTTTTTTTCTTTTTCTTTTCTACCCGTGCCTTATTAAGGACTTTGGCACACACACACACACACACACAAGAATCACTTCCCCCACACTTGTTTTTCTGCAAAA